GGCTGTTGTGCTGGCGCATTTGTTCCCCTAGACAAGTGGTTTGCAGCCCCAATTGTAATTCCACTTTATTTTTAACATATCTTAATGTTCTGTCAGAATGCACAAAATCAATTCATTTTTTAAGACGCTGTATAAGAGGCTTGTGACTATGACACCACCACAGAGGAGCCGAAATTTGAATTCAGCCTCAACAGTTGTTCCCTGTTGTCGTTTTGTGAAGTGCCTAACCGGTAGTAGCCTACTTTCAATTTGACTAGCTCAAAATTTTCATGGTCATTATATATTGAATTTTTAGGAGACATTAAGGATTGGTCAGGCTTTCATTCGACATATTGGAAAACTTTCAAGGAGATTTCTGGAAAAGTTGTAGAAGGTTGAATTTCGTGTTTTAACATGGGAAGAGATTGCAAATGAATTAGTGGAGTGAGTCCTCTTTCCCCCTTTTGTGTACCCACGAACCTTAAAATCTGTAGATTAATGTTTGATTTTGCTTACAAAAGAAACAATCTATTCTCAAATTTTCAAAAATGTCAAAGGGAAAATGATCAAATAATAGTCTTATTAATTACTTAGCGAAATCATTCACATCCGGTTTAGTATAATGTCTAGTCACAATAACTAGGTCAGGTCAAACATATTTGGGTACAAGCGAACAGTTTCAACATTTTTTTCGAATGTTTCCCTATTCAAAAAGTGGTAGTAGCCTACAACCTTCAGTCTTAACAATTAGGTTTCCGAATTTAGGGCATAGTATGAAATATGACATTCTAGTATATTTAGAAATGTTAATAATTCTCACACTTACCTTTCTTTCAACAATATCTCCGATATTTCAAATGTTTTCAATTTGAATTTCTGGTCTCAAACTATTAACATAATCCTATATATATATAATATACACTACGGAAGTAATTTGAGGCCCTTCTTAACAACTTGTGTAATGTTTAAATATAAATACCGGTACTGTATTAGGACCAGGAAGTAAAATACACCGCTGACTCGAATTTTACAATAACAAAATATTTTCACAGTTAAAATATTGCTCAAAACATCAATTGTTTAGCGATATTATATAAATATTAAAACAGCCTCTATAGCTTTCACAAGCTTCTATGAACGAATTTGCAGTATATCAAGGGTTGTTACCGTAAAATTTTTCGAATCATACCCGAGATCTTGTAGATAAATTCTTACACATGAGTTTCATAAGCAATGACTGTCTGACCTCCGTCGCGTCAGTGAGACCTCCAATGCAGTGGCGTCCCTATGAATCGTTATGGGTTTTTGCGAGTACGGACCACAGACTACTCCCAAAAGAAAAGGCATATGTGGTCAGGATGAAACATATTAATCTTTGGGAGCAAATTAAAACTATACTTCGTCAAGTTTGACATATTTAGCCTCCATCAAGGTCCAAAACTCAAAAGCCGTTCATGAAAAATACTGAAAAGGGGTATGCGTTCCAGATTTCAAGTTGCATCTAAGGGTTGGAGGCGGAGGCTAAAAAAATATCATTTGTTTTTTTTAAATACATTAATTAATTTTACTTAGTCAAGGGGAGTCTTTGTTATAAGACAAATAATCCTGAGCCTTAAATTCGTTGGGAAATCGAGTTTCCGTGCGTCTAATTCTCAAAAGCGGCATACCACAGACCCTATACAATTAATCTTGAACCTTAAATTCGCTGGAAAATGTGTTTCCAGGCTTCCTATGGACGTCCTCGGAAGCAGTAAAATAAAGCATTAACTGTAATTTCCCGGGTGGGGAGGAGTATCTAAACTGCCGCCCTTGATTGGACGTTTGTCCACCCAAGAAGTACTTGGCTAGCTACGGGCCTGCTTGAACCTTAAATTCGCTGGGGAGTTTGCGTTTCCTAGCGTCTAATTGTCAAAATTTTCCAGTCCTTATACAAATTAACAGTCCCCAGACTTCAGAAAATCGTGGTTCCAGGCTTTCTATACGTAAAAATTCACAATGTTTTCCGGGAGGGGAGTACCTAAACTGCCCCCCTTGATTGGACGTTTGGAATCAATTCCTAACTGGACACTCTATTGTCAATTCCATGGTTAAAGAAGTGAATCAAATCAATTTTTATGTATGTACAATCTAGGAAAACATTATCCTCGTCTCTTATTCAATGTCATTTGACTATGCATATGCATGCAGGTATGAGGGTATATCAAAACAAATGAAGAATAAACTCCAAGTTGCTCAAAATAAAACTGTGAGATTTATTCATCAGTTACATCATAGAAAAAGCGTGACATATATTTAATTTGAAAAACTAAGTTTCTTAAATATAAGTAATAGAGTAAAACAGTTGAGACTTAGTCATGTATTTAATATAATATAATGTGCCCAGATTATTTACATACAAATTTTGTCAGAATCACAACAACCTATAAAACAAGATCAAGTAAAAACCATTTCTGTAATCCTAGACAACGTATAAATGACTGAAACACAACACTTCCAGAATATGTCAAAAACTGTTTAAAAAATATAGAAAATACATTTTACCAACCGATCCCTATGTCTTTCCAGTGCTATTTATCAATTTATGTATTCATTCTTTGACATTTGTTTACCTAATATCTTAAATAAATATTATTAGATGTACATAATTCAAATCTTGAAAATAATGTTGCAAGGGTGCAGTGAGCTCTGTCATTTGAAAAAAAAAAAAAAAATAGCTGCAAAATAACATTTATTTAATATTCAATCTCAGATAAACTCTTAATCCCACTTGATCAGAAATGTAATGTATTTTTCTGACCGAATTTGTTTTGATACAAAGGTCTTTTTTCTTGTCTTCTGTTCCTAGACTTCAGAGAGATATACAGGTTTAAGTTTAATGTTATTAATCAATTGATTCATATTAATAGGAGGTAACTGAGTAAATTTATATAGTCCCTTTCTACACTGCTGTGATAAATTTTGATGAACTCTGGATAGTTTTCTCTCATCTATGACATGAGATGATTCTTTCTTTTGACATTCTAAATCTTGAAGGATTTTCTTGACATTAGCAGTTTTGTTTACACGGTTGAAACGTTTGAATATATCTCTGGTGTTAACGATGCATGGCAGACCAAATTTCTTTACATCTTCCTGCAAGAAAAAAAGGATGAGGGTTGAATATTGTAACTTTATTATTTTGACCCAAAGAGTTTGTTAATATTTCTTACAACAGTGTTATATAGTGAAATGAACCTGCTTGTGACTCAATTTAATAAGATAGCTTACAACAATATAGGCCAACTGGCAGCTATGATTTTTTTAATAAAAATACAGTACAATAACAATCACCAGGGCAATAACTCATAGTAAATATTGTTCAATTTTTCTGATTTTCAATAGGGTTCATCTTTGGGTGATTACAAACAACCATACCAAGTTTCGTTGAAATCAGTCCAGAATTGTGCCTCGTAGAGTGTGGCAGCAATATACTCCCCCCATTACATGTGGGCATATAAAAATGTGTTTATAGAAGAGCAAAACAGTAGTACATAAGCCATAAAGAGCTTCATAGAACACCAGTTTACAATAAGCATTAGGTTTAGTATATGATACATTACAGTGCATATGTATGTGTGTATATGACAATTAGAGACAATAAATAACATTGTGCAACATGCTGGGGACATAACTTACCAACATGTTTTAAATCACTGACTAAGAGTTGAGCAAGTTCAATATTATATAAATATTTACTTATCTGATGGTCAGGCAGCATTAAATAAACATAATAGTTAATAGAACATGCTAATGACCAGATGAAAATATAAATGATCCAAACTAATTAATAATAATATAGCTTATACTAATTCAGATCCTTCAAACAAAAAGCATCCTTCCTGCTTCAGCACTTTTGTCAGTAAATCAAATGATCATTTGTCTGTGAACTGGAATATTAGCTTTAAAGTAGCACAGATAGTCTTAGAATGATAAAATAACCTTTCCCTGGCCATGTACTCACAGAGGTATAATGGTGCAGTTTCTTTTTAGCAAGTTGATATTGTTTACAGTAATGTTTGTGAAACTGGTTAGCTGAATGAAGAAGGGTTCTGGAAGTTCTAGGTGGTGCTGGTGGTAATGGGTTGTCCCACTGAAAATTATCACATTCTTCTTGTAGTCTGGAAGTAGAAGAACTGGATGTCGTGGTTGAAATTTTGTTTCCTCTGAGAACAAAACCAACCCTAAGAAAGTGTTCAGCAATAAAATATCTTGTCTTCACATTTCTTAATCAATGGAAAAGCTGAATAATCTTGACATATTTAAATGTAAATTATCAACACCATTCTGAATCTTTATGATTATATACTTGTTTGTGTTGTTATGTCTGATTTATTGTGGTAGAAGGTTGTGTTGTAATAAAAGTGTCTGACTAACCTGTGATCAGGGGAATGGTGTTGAAGAGTAGTAGCTATAGTTGTTTGATAATGGTATTGGTAGTTTTTTTTTGAAATAGGAACTTGAGTGGTCCATCTCAATTTCAAAGCACCAAAATCACTTTGACCACTTCGTCTGCAAAATATAAACATTAAATTGACATTCCGCTTTTTTTGTAGGTCGAAAATTGTTTTTTACTCAGATTTGTGAAAACTATACACCAAAATCTGGAGAAATGTGCCGTTTACTATCTGAAAGTTAAAATTAAAAGACTAATTGTAGAGAAATATATCTCCTATGTATTCAAAAGGTTTCAATAATATTGAGCCATTATAAAACCTTACATCAAAACTAGGTCAAACTGCTTAATTAACAATAAGTACTCTGTTTTTAATTAACCCTTTTAAAACAATTCAGTTTGATCAAGAAGATCTATATCTGACAACATTGTAAGAAACATCTCGATTTGAAAAGTCAGAATGAATAGCTAATCTACAACATATCAACAATACCAGAGTTTCAAAAGTACTAGAAAACAGTCACAAAAAATACTAATAAGAAAACTTTGTACAATATGAACTGTCACTCACTGATAATAGGTCAAACCCATTTTTAATATACATGTATACTTACTGACTTTGTGTATGGTAACTTAATCTGGCCTCCATTGGTTGAACACGATGTCTTTCTGCAGACGACTAAAAATTTAGATTGAAAAATTCAATTTTAAGAGCAATATGTATTTGTATAAGAAGTCATATATTACCATTTGCACTGCCATGTCAAGAAAATGCTTGTGGTTTACATTCAAAATATTAAGGTGTAGGTTTTCTAAATTTTTCTTGTAGGTTTTCTACATTTTGCTTAAAACAGTAAACCATCTTAGTTTTATATAATGGACCCATGGCAAAGAAGACTCATTGGAAAACAGAATCTCTAATCTGAGCATCAAAAGAAACTCAAACCTCGGCCATTACCAAAATCTTCCTAACTTTTTGACCAAAACGCAATCTATTAAAGAGATGCTTGAATACCACTGGTTGTTTCTTAATAATCTAAATATCCTGTCAAATTTTCTCAATCTATAAGGAGAACAATGTACATCATGCTTTCTGCCTTCTTGTATAAAATAAATCTGACCTTTTCTTTATCAAATTGTACAGTATGTAACAGACGGAGTCCTGCCTCACCAGGAACCATTGGACCATCTTTAACATATCTAATAGGAGGAAGGGAAGTTGTTTTCATATTTCCTGCCTCATAATCCTTTCTCACCATTTCTAATTTCTTACGTTCACTAGCAGATTCAGTATCTAGGAATGGCTGCCATTTTCTATGAACTGTAAATGAATTTCTTTGACAGTTTTGATTGTTTTTGTAAAGAAATCTTTCGAAACATTCTTAAGTTTGGGTTTAAGATTTAAATTAAGCAATTTTACTGAACAACAGCATAAGATTGACAGTGATCAAAAGATCTATTAACCTTTAGACCCATTACATTCTGTTGGACTATGTAAATAAAATTAGAAAGAAGTAAAATGAAACAACAAAACTAAATATAACTAAAAATCTTAGGAGAGATTACAAGAATACAGGTTTACCTGTATCAGATGTCTGGAGATGAGTAGCTATTTGAGAAGATGTTTCACTAAGATGGCCTGAGGACTTTAATGGAGATAATAATTGTTCATATTTATTTCTTTGCGTTCCTAGAATCAGTACAAAACACAGAAAGTGATTTCAGTTTTAAAGACATTTGATATGGTATTCTTTTCAAGAATAAATACAATCATTATTTCTTATTCTCTGGAAGCTTCCTCAAGTCCAATATAAGCCCTATTTCTAATACTTACTATCCTGATGATAATTGTGTTTACAAAACACAACTCACTAGTATCAGATGAGCTACAGTTAATTGGATCATTCATTATAATGACCTGTTTTAAAGGTATTTCCAATAATCCAGGCTTAGATGCCTTGCAGCAAATCTCCATGAAGCTGCATATGCTTGACTTTATCTCAAACAGTAAGTATGGGAACCTATATAAAAGCAGATCCTCTTTAATTGTGATATTTTATAGGGAATTTTCTAGCATCTATCATACCTAGTTGTTGCTGAAGACTAAAATTAGAACTATCAGAAATATCTCGAGTTATACCAGAATCTTGGTGGTAGATTTGAGGCTGGAGGTAATCTTCATCCTATACAAACAAGAACACTATTTAAATACTTTTAAACTGGGCTGATTCTCAGGTTATGAAATTCTAAAATTTCAACTGTACACTTTAGTCATATATGTTATACATATGTTTGGCTCTTGTCTGCTAACTACACTTAAGTTTGCTTTTTGCACTTAAGATTTAGATACAAATGTAATCATCACAACTATCAAAATCTGAAAAAGCAAAAAAGTTTGCAAATCTATTTGAAAGCAGATGTGTAACAAACAAGTGAAAGTAGAGACTGATGCACAGTAATAATTAGTGCAGTAATAAGATATAAAGAATCCATCCAACTTTAACTTTTATTAATTGAAGCATTCCAATAATCTTACTAAATGAAGTACACCCTGATTTCTGACTCTGTATCTTCTTTGTAAAGATTCATAACTCTACAAACAAACAATGACATGACATGCAAAAAGTGTTGTGAAGGAACTAAGAATTGATTAAGTATTTATTGTAAATAAATTTGTTCTGTTATATTGATGTCTATTTACAAATTAATATATATTAGAGAAATGTATCTTTTAAAAGATCCAGTCTCTCCCAATTTAGATTATTAATTTCATCTTCAGTATTATCAATTTACCTTAGCAATTAACAATTTGATTGAAGTAGAAAGTACTAAAATTGTTGTTAGAATGTGCCCTAATGCATCTTTAAGTAGCTTTGAGAAATTTTATTTGAGCTGTGAAAGGTGCATTGCTGTACAGAAGAATTCTCAAAAAGACAAATAGTTATATTTCACCTGTTTAGCTTCTGAATCATTGATACCAGAATCTTCATGATTTAACAGATGTTTTCCTATTAATTCTCTCTCCTAACAAAAAAAACAAACAATCAAATTAACTTTACCAAAACAAATTTTGTTAAAAAAAATACAATGGAAGAAGAACTTTCCTTTAGGACATCCTTACTCTTCTGTGTACAGTCTTTAAAAAATACTTAAAATACTATACTACTTATCTATGTACATATTATAAACAATTACAGAGATGCTAACTGACGATGAAGTAAAAAATATCTGACAAGTATCACAATCTTACCTCTATTGACTCTGTAATACTTGTATAACGATTCATTAAAGCCTTGTCCATAAATTCTACATCCTGTTAACAATAAACCAGATATATATTTATCTTCATTTTCATGTGAGGCAAGACATTACATGGTAAGAGCTCCAAAATAATATGGATTATTTCAACATTATTAAGTGATTGTTCACAGAAGTAAGAGAGTTTTGCTCTGCTAGTTCCCTGATAATGACACAAAAAATTCAGTAGCCCATCTAACTTAAGAATAACGTAAGAATATACTTACTCTGAATGACTCAATGATATCAGATCCGTGACGTTGCAATGACTGACTTAAATATTCCTAAAATAATACATAGTGAATACTTAGTATCAGTCTAGTGATGTCTTAATAGTTGTTTGGACTGGTGGGAGTGATATTTGGTTTATGAATTTTGGAGTTCCATTATCAAATTAATATGCCTTAGTAATATTTCCTAGCTATGATATAAACTTGTAAATAAGAACACAGAAATTTAGTTCTATGATTTAACATACAAGATTGAGCTCCTTAAACCTAGCTCTAAACTTTAACTTATATACAAGATTGAGCTTCTTCCTCCTAGCTCTAAACTTTTACTTACATACAAGATTGAGCGCCTTCCACCTAGCTCTAAACTTTTACTTACATACAAGATTGAGCGCCTTCCACCTAGCTCTAAACTTTTACTTACATACAAGATTGAGCGCACCTAGCTCTAAACTTTTACTTACATACACGATTGAGCTCCTTCCTCCTAGCTCTAAACTTTTACTTACATACAAGATTGAGCCCCTTCCACCTAGCTCTAAACTTTTACTTACATACACGATTGAGCTCCTTCCTCCTAGCTCTAAACTTTTACTACATACAAGATTGAGACCCTTCCACCTAGCTCTAAACTTTTATTTACATACAAGATTGAGTCCCTTCCACCTAGCTCTAAACTTTTACTTACATACAAGATTGAGCTCCTTCCTCCTAGCACTAAACTTTTACTTACATACAAGATTGAGCCCCTTCCACCTAGCTCTAAACTTTTACTTACATACAAGATTGAGCTCCTTCCTCCTAGCACTAAACTTTTACTTACATACAAGATTGAGCCCCTTCCACCTAGCTCTAAACTTTTACTTACATACAAGATTGAGCTCCTTCCTCCTAGCTCTAAACTTTTACTTACATACAAGATTGAGCTTCTTCCATCTAGCTCTAAACTTTTACTTACATACAAGATTGGGCTCCTTCCTCCTAGCTCTAAACTTTTATTTACATACAAGATTGAACCCCTTCCACCTAGCTCTAAACTTTTACTTACATACAAGATTGAGTCCCTTCCACCTAGCTCTAAACTTTTACATACATACAAGATTGAGCTTCTTCCATCTAGCTCTAAACTTTTACTTACATACAAGATTGGGCTCCTTCCTCCTAGCTCTAAACTTTTACTTACATACAAGATTGAGCCCCTTCCACCTAGCTCTAAACTTTTACTTATATACAAGATTGAGTCCCTTCCACCTAGCTCTAAACTTTTACTTACATACAAGATTGAGCTCTTCCAACTAGCTCTAAACTTTTACTTGCATACCAGATTGAGCTCTTCCAACTAGCTCTAAAATTGTACATACAAGATTGAGCTCCTTCCACCAAGCTCTAAACTTTTACTTTCATACAAGATTGTGCTCTTTCAACTAGCTCTAAACTATTACTTGCATACAAGATTGAGCTCTTCCAACTTGCTATAAACTTTTACTTACATACAAGATCAAGCTTCTATCTAGCTCTAAACTTGTACGTATACAAGATTGAGCTCTTCCAACTATCTCTAAACTTGTACATACAAGATTGAGCTTCTTCCACCTAGCTCTAAACTTGTACATACAAAAATGAGCTTCTTCAACCTAGCTCTAAACTTGTACATACAAGATTGAGCTTCTTCAACCTAGCTCTAAACTTTTACATGATTTAATCTTACATAAATCAAAGGAAGTGTTGTGATAATTGGGAAACATACCACTTTGTTTCAAAAGTCAATAATTAAGAAGGGATTCCAATGATCAAGAGGTCACTTAATAAAGATTATCAGGTCTCACAGTTTGTCTTTTAAACATGGTTTAACTAATAATCTTTACATGAAAATGTGGCAAGATTATCACGATCAGAGATCTATTTCAGTCAGTGAGTAAACAAGGAATCTATTTTAGGCTTTTTCAATTGGGTTTCAGTCAGTTTGATCTCCAAGCTTTTCTACATCCTCACACAATCTTAGCAATCAAGAATACTTGAATTATTCATTAGAACCATCAATTAATCAAACAATAAGCAATGATTTGACCAAAAAAAATAAGCAAAGGCATCTTTAATCCAGTAAATTTAAATGATAATCCAATCAGATAGTGTTAATACCTGAGCCATCTCTTGTAAAGCTTTATTAGAATCTTCTAAAAATAATTTCATTAGTTCAACATCCTGAAAAACAAAATTGGTCAAGTTTAAATCTACTGTAAATAGAATATTTCTGTTCAGCAAACTATCCAGTTATCATCACTCTTTCAATAACAACATGTGTGGATATATTACACAGCTGTGTTTGACTCTAACAGAATGAATAAAAATATGATATTTATGTGCATTTTTAAATGATATCAAAGCTAATGGGTTAAAATCATAAAGCAGTCAAACAGATCATGAGAATACAGGGTGTTACCTCAGCACTTTCTATACCCATCTCTTGTCTTTTCAACATTTTTTTCAGCAATTCATAATTTGAATTTGCATCAACGGTAGCTGCAGCCTTGCTGGTTGTTGTGACTTTATCCAAGGCAGACTTCATTAGAGCCATCATTTCCTTCAGTTTGGCTTCTTCCTATTGGGTAAAAGAAGTCAGTTATCAGGAATGTTGACTGATTTGTCATATGTGGTTAATACACCATCATGGTCATATAGCACTGAATCTTACAGCAATAAAGTCATCATATAGCCCAATTTCAGCTATCTGTAATACTTCTTCAAACATAAATCTGACTTCTCATTCCCTTACAATAAATCAAATTGTACTATGGAACTTTCCTGAAGTCTCATATAGGCCCAGTCTTCTCATTTCCATTATTAAAGTTAGCTGAATTTGGTCTATATTTTAAAGAATTATGTATTTAATAGTCTTAAAACACTTTTAGTCTAAAATGGAGGATAATAAAATACAATTTGATTTGTAAGTTTTACCTCAGCAGTTTCTTGTCCCATTTCATGTCTTTTTAACATTTCCTTCAGTAATTGATATTCTTTAGACTCTACACCTGCTTCATCTTCTTCATTTATTATGTTGTTTTTTTCCTGTTTAATGATGGTGGCTTCTTTGCTAATTGCAGATTTGATCTGAACCAACATTTGTTTCAATTTGGCTTCCTCCTATCAAATTATTACCACCATTTTAATTGGAATATCAAAACCAGAATCATTTGAATATCAAAATCCTTCATAGGCAAAGTTTTTGACACATCCTATCAAACATCTCATTATTTTGTATTTATGATAATATTTCCCATTCATTTCACTGCCAGATATCAATGTACAAACATTGCAAACTCAACATAAAATATCAGGTACCATTTGGGAAAATAGATCAGTCATTTAAATCAAATCAAAAAAATTCAATAAAAATTTCAAATGCAAACCGTACCTCCTCAGTTTTTATGCCCATCTCATATATTTTCAAAATCTCTCTTAACAATTCTTTATGTTCTTCTTCATTAATGGTAGATTTCATCTGGCATAACATCAGTTTTAATCTAGCTTCCTCCTGTTGAACATAACACACAACATGTGTAAGTCAGTCCCACAGTTATAGTGCAGCATTGATCAACGCTTACAGTTTATAGGACTCTCTACATTCTGCTTCCTTGCCCACTATAGGCCTCATGTGATACACCTCATGTTTCAGGTGAACATGAAGGGACCTAGTCATCTAATTATTTGTTTTACCTGCTGTTAGAGTTCAATCAATTTCATACTGTAGTTACTATTTTAATAATCTAACATGCAGTGTTACATCTAACACCAATACCATGCCATCTGATATAATAGCCATTCTGAACAGTTAAAATATGATTGAAATTCAGCTTCATCACCTGGTAAAACAAATATTATTAATAAATTCATGTTTTAAGCAGTTGTGAGAATTCCTTCTTAACTAAGTACCTCAGAAGTTTCTAGGTTCATCTCATATTTCTTTAACATTTCTTTCAGTATTTCATAATCTGTAGACTTCTTTTTTTTATCCTCTATTTCAGCTGTTCCTTCATTAGGCTTTAACTGGGACAACATTTGTAGAATTATGGCTCTTTCCTAGTGAATGATAAGCATAAGGAAGATAGCTTGAGATGCAAGGTAACATATGCCCACTGGCCGCTGTCAGAAATAATAAAACACTAAAATACGAATTTTCTCATATTGAAGAAATTATCAAGGGCAATAACTCAAAAAACATTCATCAAAAATGCATCAAGTTGGAACTTCTCCGAGATCTTAACAATTCCAATGATCACACCAAGTTTCATCAGAATTGGTTGAAATCTGTAGCTTCTATTGTGCTCACGAACAAATTTTGACGCGTTTTAACAAAGTCAAGGGCAATAACTCAAAAACCGTTCATTGAAAATGCATCAAGTCAAAACTTGTCCGAGATCTTATCAATTCCAATGATCACACCAAGTTTCATCAGAATCGGTTGAAAACTGTAGCTTCAATCCTGCTCACGAACTATTTTCAACAAATTTCAACACGTTTTAACAAAGTCAAGGGCAATAACTCAAAAAAAGTTCATCGAAAATGCGTCAAGTTAGAACTTGTCAATTCCAATGATCACACCAAGTTTCATCAGAATCGGTTGAAAACTGTAGCTTCAATCCTGCTCACAAACTATTTTTAACAAATTTTGACGTGTTTTTACAAAGTCAAGGGCAATAACTCAAAAACCGTTCATCCAAAATGCGTCAAATTAGAAGTTTTCTGAGATCTTATCAATTCCAATGATCACACCAAGTTTCATCAGAATAGGTTGAAAACTGTAGCTTCAATCCTGCTCACAAAGTATTTTTAACAAATTTCGACGTGTTTTAACAAAGTCAAGGGCAATAAATCAAAAACATTCATCAAAAATGCATCAAGTTAGAACTTCTCTAAGATCTTATCAATTCCAATAATCACACCAAGTTTCATCAGAATAGGTTGAAAACTGTAGCTTCAATCCTGCTCACAAAGTATTTTTAACAAATTTCGACGTGTTTTAACTAAGTCAAGGGCAATAACTCAAAAACCGTTCATCGAAAACGCGTCAAGTTAGAACTTATACGAGATCTTATCAATTCCAATGATCACACCAAGTTTCATCAGAATCGGATGAAAACTGTAGCTTCAATCCTGCTCATGAACAATTTTTAACAAAATTCAAGGCGTTCTAAGTCAAGGGCAATATCTCAAAAACTGTTCATCGAAAATATGTCAAATTCGAACTTGACTGAGATCTTATCAATCTAAAGCATCACACCAAGTTTTATCAAAATCAGATAAACACTGTAGTCTCTATAGTGCTCACAAGAAGTGTTGACGGACGGACCGATGGACCGAGGGGCGACACCAATATACGACCACATATTCATGTGGGCGTATAAAAATGGAGTGTACAAATCTGACACATGTTTTGAATCAGAAGAAGGATGTTTTACAAATTTTGAATCTGTTATCGATCCTACTTGGCTATGCAATGTAACATCAATATCATCTAAACAGTGGCTCAGACAATGAGATGTTTTTAGGTCCAAGGTTCCTATCTGGCATAGGTCAAGATAACACATTCAAAGTTTTTAACATGGTTTCCTCCCTGTCAATGATGCAGGTCAATTAGTTGGTATGAAAAAAGCCAAGGTCCTGTGTGTTTCTAGAATAAATTGACTGTTCTTCAGCTTAATTTCAAACATTTAAATTCAATTGATAAACTGTCCTACCAAAGCAGTTTCTATCCTCATTTCATATTTTTTTAACATTTCTTTTAGGATTTCATAATCTTTAGAATCTACGCCTTCTATTTCAGTGGCGTCATGTTCATGTTTAATGGTATCATCGGTTACAAACACACCTGACAACCCCTGAGCCATCATTTGTTTCATTATTGCTTTCTCCTATTTGAATAACAAAAGTACATGAACAAATATTGATAAAAATATAAAATCTCAAATTTGGTCAACAAGTACATATATTCATTAAAGAAGGAAGTGGAGGTGTCCACGTTTAGATTTTCTCATTGATCCCATGTGGTTGGAAAGTTTGCAATCTGATAATCTAATGGAGTTAAATGGAGGGTCTATTGGTTGTAGACTGTGTTAAGTCCGGGTTGGTGCCTAGTCGATTGATTATTAGGTAGTCGGAGTGTCTCGGTAAATGGAAGTGAGAGGCGACTGGTGTGTCTCTCTTAAGATAGATAGGTTCACTTCTTTAGCATTAGCTTTGGCAGACTGCTTGATGGAAAAGTAGACTCTTTGTTTTTTAGCCAAAAGATTTTTTTCCACCAGGGTGGTTATAAATTCAGAGTACTAAAAGGGGATAACGACTGCCC